ACGCAGCTTATTTGGCTTTTCTGTTTTTATAGGCCTTGGTTTTTGACAGCATATATTCAATCATATTTCCCATACTTGTTTACTAGTGTCACACTGCTCTTTTGATCATGACAGTTAGGCAGCAGCGGTGGCCGCAGTAGTAGACTCTTCGGTCTCCTGATCAGTCGCCGTGCGGTGTGCGGGTTCGAATAGGTGTTTAGGCGTCAGGCGTTCATGGTAGTTGGAGTATAAAAAAACATATTTTAAGTTTTCAATCTATAAATAGAACAGCATACGCAGGGAAGTTTCGCGAAACTGATGAGCACAACAGCTGATATCAACTAATGAAAGTGTTTGAGGTTATATCAGCGATTGTACTGCTCCAAATGCGCAGTAGTTGTCTGCGCACTTTCAGTATGATATTATTTAAAACAGTTTCGACAACATTTAGCACTAAATTTGTTCATACCAAATTATGTACTAAATGCTCTCTGACACTATCCTTGATTTGGTACGAAATTTAGCACAAAATTTCGTATCGCGACAGTCGGCCTTAACAAGTCGGTTTTAACTTCAACCAGTATAAGAGTACGTGCCGTCATCATACCTTTATCCTGGACCATTACCGGTGGCAGTATATCCATTGTCGAGTGCCTGTGTGCCATCATAACCGTTAAAAATGTGAGTGGGAATTAATAAAAATACTGTGTTGTGTGGTGCTTTGCGAGGTGGCGTGGACGCTCGACTCTATGGCTCTATGGTTTGCCCTGGTGGTTTTATGATGATGGAGGAGGTCTGCTTGGCCTCTGCGCGCTTCGATCGCTAATACGCTCAAAGTAAAAATGCGTGTAGGCCATTAGCCGGCTTTTCTCGACACTTTTTTTGTAGTCGCGTTCCCCTTTCCGATGTTTATGCACGGAATTGGCATATGCGCTGCTTGGTGTCAGATAAGAGGATTGATTGCTTGGTTTGATTGGACATATACCGACTGTTCCGAATTCGACTATCTCGGAAATGGAATCTCGGAAATTGTAAGAAATACGAAGTTGCTTAAATGGGGGCAAAGTTGCGTATTTAGGTAATTAACAAGATGCTGATACCACCCCCAAAATTTTAAAGGAAAGGAGGGTCGAGTGATGCCTTATTTTAAAGGTCTTTCAATTCCCTTTATAATGATATATGTTGGAACATCAACCTATTCGCAATGTACCGCCGATCATTCTGATTTTCAATTATGGCTGTTAATGCAGGATCTATGGCGTCTTCCAGTATTTCCAAATACATTTCACCGGACAAATTTCCAGGTAAGGAAAAAGGACCAACTAAATGATCGCCAAAAATACCAGCCAAAACATTTAAATTTTGTGGCTGCTGTGTATGAACCTCATGATAAATTCTGGGATTAGAATCGGACCAATATCGGCAATTATGACGATTTACTACGCCATTTAAGAAGAAGAAACATTCGTCGGAAAAGCAAGTGTTGAATAGAAAATGTTCATCATTTATAATTCGTTCACTCATATCTTCACAAAATTGTAATCGCCGAACAAAATCGTCTTTATTAAGTTCTTGTACCAGATGAATTTTATGCGAATGAAAACTATGAGCCTTTAGAATCCGTTGGACAGTACGTCGACTAACACCACCCACAGACTCCAATTTTCGGGTACTTAACGTAGGATCTACATAAACTTGGCCTAAAACCCCCACTTCTATTGCTTCGTTCCTTATGGGATTTTCAATGTTGCGGTTTTTATTGGCGACTGACCCAACTTCCCGAAATTTAGCTACAACTTCTAGAACATATTTTCGATGCACGTTACTGTTCTCATGTCGCTCATTAAATATTTCTGCTGTTCTATTGGCGCACTGATTATTTCCGAAAAATATTTCGATAATTTCAACTCTTTCTGCTGTGGAATATGCCATGGTTAATTTATGTAATAAAGCGTTACAAGTAATTTTAGCAACAAAGTTTGGTCAAATCAATCGCAAACTATGTACTAATTTCCTATTTAAAATAAGTACGAGATATTTCCTTATCTTTCTTCAATAAATAACTTTTTTGCCACAAAAAAACGCTCCAATAGCTATTTTCAACAACAAAATGATAAAAAAGCCATGGGCGTAGTGAAGAAAAGCATTTACTTATTAAGTAAATTCTTTTAGTAAAATTTCTTCTGAAAGTAGTACAAACTAATCTGATGTACCTATTAAAGTCTACTTTAAGCTTTAAATCAATAAATCTTCAAAACTACTGAACTGAAGCTCATGTGTTTTACATCATTATAAAGGGAATTGAAAGAACTTTAAAATAAGGTATCATTCGACCCCCCTTCCCATCTAAGATTTTAGGGTTGGTGTCACCCCCGCCCAGGGGGCTGCACGTGTTAACGTGATTTTTTGCCAAATTTGTGTACCCCTCGAAAGCAAAATCGACGGGTCTGAGCGTTTTTCCAAAAAAAAATGAGCTGCCAGTAAATGCGTCTGTTTTGTTTTCGATGCGCCACCCATATATATATATATATATGGAAACAATTGATGATAATTACAAGGCCTTCCTGTTTTTTGTGAAACAACTGAGGTTTGGAAATGTCAATGTCATATTGAAATTCTGCTTATGCCTCCTCCTAGTGGAGAAAAAGTTGCAATGTTAATATGCAATTTATTTTAAAATCCCACTACAAACAAAGTCAGGAAAAATTAAAACTATTTTGGAAAATTTTTTTCCTCTCTTTTTTTCGCTATATAAATGTCATACAATATCCAAGAGAATATCTCGTTCTGGAAGCTTCTCGGGATTACAATACTTACTCGGCAGTTGTCCTCGAAAGTAAATACAAGAAAATCAGGTCGATTCCAAATGTCCTTATTGTTTTTAACAAGATTTTGATAATCCTTAGACCTAGTCATAAAATTTGTTCTGGATCTCAAAATTTATTGAAATTCCACCGCTTTCCGTGTCTCTCATTTCTTAACCGTGCCGTCAGAATTTTCCAGAGAGCTTTAAATTCAGCAAGTCACTTATTGAGTTATTTGTCTGTCGATGAGTTTAAATTTTGCACGAATGAGAAATTTAAAAATAGACGTATTTGAATACATTGGAAGTACCAAGTCAATATACGCGCTTCCATATTTTCATCGTCCGAGTTTTAAGGCACGTCACTGGCCAAACCATTCCGCTTGATTTATCATTCACGCATTACCAGTGATGCAGCTGACGATGCTAACTTGATGTCTAAACATCCTGGCGCACACCTACCCTGATAATTTCCAGGTTAAGTAAGCCATTAGCATTTTTATTACGGAATTAAGGGTACTTATGCACCGTAAAAGATCGATGGATGTCTTTAAAGTGCCTTCATTCTTTCGAAGACTGCTTCCAGCCTTATCAGATTTCATCACTCTACCGAATAACCACTTATAGCGTGTATATTTAATTTCCAAATACCTCAAAAACTCGGCAAAAACGCTTTTTTTGAAAGTAGTCTCTTATAAAATTTTATTTATATAATTAGTTTATCATTGTAATCGCGAAAAAATTTGAAAATGTGATACTGTTTTTTGCATTTTACATGATATGTTCATCACGAAAAACCATGTCACTAATTTCCGTCGATCCATCGGTCTGTATGTCTGTGGATCTGTCTGTCGCCGCTAATCCTTTTTCGCGTCTTTAACTTGGAAAGTACTCGGATTTTGAAGAAATTTTCTTACAAGGTTACTACTATGCCAAGGACGAGAAAGCCTGATTATTTTGAAAATCGTTCCCGTGACGGCGGAACTTCAAGCAAAAAACGAATAAAACAGAAATCGTTCAATCTTCGTTTTTTGATGTTTCAGTGACTCCTGATCATTTTCAGTAGGATTTTGATTTTGCCGGGCTAAAAATTGGGGTTGTTGGTGGTGGGGGAGGGTATATTTAGTTTTTTTGGTTCAACTTCAATCGACTCTCCCTTCAGAAAATGCCTTAAACCACCGAATAACCTGGGCTCTTTGCAAAACAGTATCTCCGTAGGTCTGCTGACGTTTAGCAAGAGTTTTCGTTCCAATGTGCCCAAATCTGAAGCAAAACCTGCTAGCACACCGTTGCTCGAAATTGATGTCACTCATTTTTATAACAGAATAGAAAAACCTGTTTCACAAAAAAAATTGATGCGGACAACCAAATGACTCGATTGAGTTCAAACTTGAACTGAAGGTGGATCACTTGTCGCCTTCAAGCCTGACACCTCCAGTGTTCCCAGATCGAACGCACCTGCGCCAGTCTCGTTACTTAATTTACAGACCTATTAGACATATTTAAGTCATCATATATTATCCCGTACATTTACCCTTAAAACTTCTCTCCAACATTCACATCTCGCATGCGATGTGGTCCGGCCGATGGACGAGCGTCGTAGTTCGCAGGAGATCGAAATTTTAAACAGCCCCAAAATTGTACAGAAAAGTGTGTTAAGTATACAAATTTTAATTGTATGAAGTTGTTTGACTGGCTTGATTTAATTTCTTGTTATACATGTTCGTAGCTGTTTTCTCAGAAGAGAGAACTTGTGCCGAATATAATCTTTTGTGAGCTGAAGCCACATCTACGATGGCAAAAATTGAGAAGCTGGTTAACCAGCTGAAAGAAAAGAAGGATGCTTTCGCCATGCTGGAAGAGCAGATGCGAAACCTGCAAGAAGCCTTCTTGCAGGCCAGACAGGAGATCGAGGACCTGAGCGGGAAGCTCCGCAGGGCCAAGAAGAAGGCCGCAAAGAAGACAGGAGAAGAGGAGGAAGAGGACCACCAGGCTACGTCGGACGAGATGGACGCCCAAGAAGAGGGCACTCAACGGACCGAAGGAATAGAAGAAGAAGCCGAGAAGAGGACGGACGACAACGATTTCAGTGTCGCCACCAGACGGAGGAAGCGGGTGCGAGTTTCCTCTTCCGAAGATGAGTCATCCAAGGCAGCCAAAGATGTCAGCTGCCGCCACCAAGAAGACTCCTAGAGCAACCAGGACCACCGAGGCCCCCATGGCAGGAACAGGAGTTCCGCCAATCAATATCGAGGGCACCGCTGATTGGTCATCCTTAAGCAGGATGATGAACAGCAAGGGGATTCAATTCTCCAAGGCGAGGACGGCTGGTAACAGTGTGAAGGTCTTCACAAATACACCAGCTGACTACCGTCAGCTAGTCGCACTGCTGGAATCCATCAAGCGGCCCTTCTTCACCTATCAACTGAAGGAGGACAGGATGGACCAGAGGGTCATTCGTGGGCTACCCAGGGAGATGTCAGTCAATGACATCAAAGAGGATCTAGTGAGCCAAGGCATCGCAGACGCCGAGGTTCAGCAGATGACCTCAAGGACCACCAAGAAGCCGCTTCCGCTCTTCCTCGTCAAGACGAAGATGCCGGAAAAGCTTGCAGATATCCAGAGGCTGGCCATGCTCACGGTCAGCTTCGAGAGGAAGAAAAAGCCTTCCGAGCCCAGCCAATGTTACCGCTGCCAGCGGTACGGGCACACACAGCGGAACTGCCGTCTCGCTGAACGGTGCGTTAAGTGTGGAGAGGACCACAACAGCACCAGCTGCAGTCTGCCAGCGCCGCCAACAGGGCAACGAAACACCAAGTGTTGCCTCTGTGGAGAAGGCCACCCCGCCAACTACAAGGGATGTAGTAAGGCCCCGAAGAAAGCTGCTTCTACCCCCAAAGCAGTCCCCACCACAAATAGGACTTCTTACGCTCAAAAAGCGAAGAAACCTATGTCTACTTCTGCCCCAGCAGCCGCCACTGCTACTGGAACTACTTCGCAGAAGCAACACGGCGATGACAGACTGCTAGCAATGATGCAAGCCATCATAACCCGCCTGGATGCACTCGAGGCCAAGATGCAAGAAAAGCATTAGACCCGAAATGACTACAGGGCAAAACGTAGAATCTCTACTCATTATCTCCTGGAACATCAACGGATTCAGGGCACGGAAACTAGAAATCCAGGAGATACTAGATCAGTACCAACCAGAGGTGATGGCCATCCAAGAAACGAAATTGGATGCTGCCCATAGTCTGACGTTCCCGCGGTACGAGACGTACCGCTACGACAGAAGGGGCAGAGGTGGAGGAGTCGCATTACTCGTCAAACGTACCTTGACGAGTCATGTCCTCGACGATGCCGCAGACATAAATGGGGACGGAATCACGGTCCAGGTCCATCACAACCACCGTCCCTACAGAATCACCTCCCTATATGTGCCACCAGGGGAGGCCCTAGACGAAGATGACATCGCTGACCTCCTGAGAGGCCCAGGAGCACGCATAGTCATCGGAGATCTAAACTGCAAGTCTCCGGCATGGAACAACAACGTCGAAGACAGGAATGCAAGGCAGCTCCAGGAACACGTCGATGCCCTGGCGGGGGTCATCGTCGGTCCGGAGCAACCAACCTACATTCCATTCGGCCTTGGGCGACCTGCGGTACTGGACATAGCCATCCTCCGCAACATCAGAGAGGAGTTCGAGATAGAGACCCTGGTGGAAGGATCGTCGGACCACAATCCGATTCTACTAACACTTGGCACAAGGTCTAGAACTCGAGATAGCTTGAGCACCAAACGGACGAACTGGAACCTGTACAAATCCAACGTCCAAAGGAACATCACTCAAATTCCAACCATCCGATCAGCGGAGGAACTGGACAACGCAGTAGAGGAGCTGGAGAATGCTGTCCTGCGAGCGCACGAGGACAGCACCCGCTCCGAGACTACGGCAGTTCCTAGACACCTAAATGGTCCAGCACCGCACCATATTAGGCACCTGATCAGGGAGAACAGAAGACTCAAGCGAGAACATCTCCAACTGTTGACAGAGGAGTCGAGAGTTGCGCGAAACAGAGCATCGTTAGCTCTGAAGAGCGCACTCGCGGAACTCCAAAACAGCAGATGGAATGCAGCCTGTACAGAACTAGAGACCCAGGATGGTACGGCCTGGTCTATGCAGCGAAAATTTCGTCGTCAGCGCACCACGATCCCCATCCTTCACGGCCAACGCGGCTTGGCCTACTCCAGTGAAGAAAAAGCCGAAGCATTCGCCGATTCGCTAGAATGCAGACTCAATTACCATGAAGACGAGGACGACAACCACGAGGAGGCCGTGGAAGTCGCAGCCGAAAACATGAGGAGTCGACCACCTGGCCAGGAGACGGATACCCCTCCAGTCCAGAGGAAATCCGTCTGATCATCCGCAGGTTGAAGGTCAGAAAGGCGCCGGGAAGGGACGGCATCAACAACAGGATGCTGAAGAACCTTCCCACCAAAGGCATTGCTGCGCTCATCAACATCGCCAATGCCACCCTAAGACTTAACCACTTCCCGCGGCGGTGGCGGGAAGCCCAGGTTATAATGCTCACCAAGCCAGGCAAGGACCGGAAGTTGCCCCAGAACTACCGGCCCATCAGCCTGGTTTCCTCGATGGGCAAAGTAGTCGAAAAGGCTATCGCCGTTCGACTAGAGAAGCAGGCAGAAGAACTGCAACTTCTCCCCCCAGAGCAATTCGGCTTCAGATCCTCGCACAACACAGAACTCCAAGCGCTACGACTGACAGAAAACATCACCAGCGGCTTCAATCTCCAGGAGGCAACCGGTCTCGTCCTGCTGGACGTGGAACGAGCCTTCGACCGAGTTTGGCACGATGGACTCATCGCCAAAATGGAAGCCGCCGGAATCGATGCGAACATGTGCCAACTGATCCAGAGCTATCTAACACAAAGATGGTTCACGGTGAAGATTGGTACATGCCATTCAACAAGACGACAGCTGGAAGCAGGCGTGCCCCAGGGGTCAGCCTTAGCCCCCCTGCTCTACAACATCTATACTTACGATGTGCCGAAGACAGCTGACACAATGCTGGCCCTATATGCAGACGACACTGCTATAGCCGCCAAGCATAGACGACCACATTCAGGACTGGTGCGTGAAATGGAAAATCCGCATCAACGTCCAGAAGACGCAGGCAATCTTCATTCAACGAAGAAGGATTGCAAGACCTCTCGAAGCATCCATCTTCGACGAAGATATCCAGTGGAGCGACAATGTCAAATATCTGGGGATCGTATTTGACAAGTCCCTCACCTGGAAAGCGCACATAGAAGCTGTCATCGCAAAAATCAGAGCAGCCATGGCTCAACTCTATCCATTACTGGGTAGACACAGCCAGATGCCGCTAGCGACCAAGCTACGGTTGATCAAGGCCATCGCCAGACCTCAGCTCGCTTACGCCTCCGCGGTCTGGGGGTACGCTGCCCCCAGCTACCGCAAGCGACTTGCTGCTCTAGAGATGAAGCTACTCCGGATCGCCACCAATGCACCTTCCTACGTAAGGAACTCAACCTTGCGTAGAGACCTGCATTGGGATACCATCCACGAGTACATGAGGAAAAAAGCGGAGAAGACCTTCGAGAAAGCTCAGGACTACCCGAACGAGCAGCTACGATTCCTCATGGACTACGATCCGGACGAGAGGCCTCGCAACCGCAGAACCAGGTACCCCAGACCAAGGTCTCAGCTGGCACCCGCTAACTGGAACCTTGACTAGGAGACTAGGAGAACTTGCGGCTGCTCCCCCCCCCCCCCACCCCACGGCGTGGATGCAGAGGACCAGGAACCACCGGGACCAGGACCCATCGGGACCAGGACCAACCAGGACCAGGACCCGCCACGACCAGGACCCACCAGGACCAGGACCCTTCAGGACTAGGACCAGGAACAACATATTGGTAAGAGGACTTGAAACTCTTGATTTTTCGAAAACAAGAGTTTCAAGAGAACCAGCAGACCCTCTATCGATGATCGCTTAACGACATCGATAGAATGTGCGAGGTAAAGGGAACCAACCCGGCGTTCCCAGAGACTAAAACACATGAGGAGACGTTTTAGCAGACCGCAGGTCACGCACAACACATGGCCTACCGAGACGCTGATGAGTCGGGCCACGCGGAGGTTTAGGGTTTAGTGGGTATTAGGTGCTCTCCTCAAGACCCTGGAGTCCCACACACGCCGTAGCTCGGGCTATGGTATGGTGCGTAAATGCATTCCCCCCTCACCAAAAAAACAAAAAAAAAAAAAAAAGATCTTGTTTACGGATAGTCCTAGAATGAAATTCCGGACAGGGCAGGTATATACTTGCTCTAGGGTCGCCTTGACATCAGTCGACATTCAGCCGTCGTTCAGTACGCACTAAGCATGTGTACACGTCTAAAAATTCTGGCCTGTTCCGAAGTGCTGTAAAACACACGAAACTATCTCAATTTGAATTGTGCAAAATGGAATCACTTTCTGAAGGTATGCAGAATATATAGTTGCACAGTTGTTGCTTATTTTATGAAATATTAAAATTTTACACCAAATAAGCATAAACAATTGTACATTTTTTTTCTAAAATCGATTTTCTAAAGTAGTTTTAAAATTGTCTTCGGGAGTCTCGATCTTGTTTCGACAAGGAAATGATATTATAGTATGAAATATAATATAGTAAAAATCTGGCTACCCAGGAGTGCTCAACGAATGGTTAGACTAATTTTTAGGGAGAAATATGTGGCGCGACATTAATGGTCGTGTGACTGTAATGCATTGATTATTACCGATCGGACAACTTTCTAAGAGGCCCAAGAGTCACGCAATAAGGACATTAAGAAATACAGATTAAGTAATACAAGAAAATGCTCTAGAGAATCGAATTCGAGAGATATCTTCAAAAGGCTCTTAGTAACATCAGATCCATTTCTCTCAAGCATCAGGAAATTGCCCCAGAGACCGTCGAAATCATTACATAAAGAAGCTCTACAATTGTTAAAACAACCTGAAGTCACCAGACAAGAGACAAGGAACGATTCCGATTTAGATGCAAGTGCGTCAACATCAGAATCCGAATGGAATGATTCGAACATTGAAGGTGACGTACAAGATGTTTGTTACTAGAAGTAAAGCAAATTTTTTATAAAAGAAATGTTTGATAAATAAAAAACATTGCTCGAAAGATTTTTTACTCATTAAAACCTAAAAATATTATAAAACATTTTCTATTTAAAAATTTAAAAAATTAAATTTGCTTGCGGAATCCTCCATATATCGCGTCTACTATTTTGAAAATTAACATTTTGATAACCAACTCGTAATCAGCGATTCCAAAAACCATAAACAAATACAATTGGGAATTTTTACTGGATTATTTGACCAATTGGTTAAATTATGTCCGCCATTTTGGGTCCGCCATTTTGAAAATCGTAATTCTGATAACAGATTCATATTCAGCGACACCTCCGAGAAGAAAATTTGAGATCATTTACGACACTTTCTGAATTTTGGCCAGGTTTTTCTGATTCTGCCCCACTGTGCGGCGCTCCGTCTGAGGTTTAATTGAATGGAGCTCGGGTACCATGGGAAAGCTCTGCTAAGTATCTCGGTGTCACTTTTGACCTAGCAGAAGCAAACTGAAGCGTTAAAAACTAAATTCCAAATCTCGTTTCGGCAATTCTACCCTATGCTATGTAGAACATCAAAATTAAGTTTTATCAACAAGGTTCGGCTATACAAGATGGTTATTAGGCGAGCGATCGCTTACGCAAGTGCGGCTTGGTGTTTTCTCGCCAAAACGCATTTGCGTAGCCTGCAGGTTTTGCAGAACAGAACCTTGCGTACAATCACTAACGCCCCATGGTATGTTTCCAACGAGACCCTTCACAGATACCTTGACATCCCTTACCTAAGGGACTACATCAAACAACAAGCGCAGCTACGTTATAGTCAAGCGGAATCGCATAGCAACTCTTTGTTGCGCGAGTCAGTAGACCACACAGTCGAGCAAGTTTGCAAGCACGCAAGGCCGCGACTCGCACTGTGAACAAAATTAAATCTTGCGACTTCAGGTTCAACCAAAATTATAGTTTTTCTTCAACAACCAATGTCAAACTTAATTTTAGGATCAATTTAAAAGTGCCGAATACTAATTAACAATGCCAAGGCTCCCCTCTCTTTTCTTTGCTTTCCCTCTTTCCCTGCTTTCTTCTTCCCTTCTTGCTCCCTGACTTTGTTTGGTATCTGACTTACAAGACTTTAACCAAGAGCAAAGGTCCTATGGACCGCTCTGACAGACAATAACGAATAGAAACTATACGAGGAGCCTCGACAACATCAAGTGTGCTGAGGCTCCATCTGACGTTTCCAATTGCAAGTTTGACATTTTTAAACATAAGCTTCATCAGAACGTTTTGTCATTTCAGTGATAGCGATTTGAAAACTGTGTCTCAATGAAAAAGTGGACTTGGCTCGTGAACATTTTCGTGCGATGATCTATTACGACTTTCGGCGTGGATTATCAAGGCAGGAATACATCGATCAACTTACTTCGATTCTTGGTGATGAAGCCACATCCTTTGTCACTGCGAAACGATGGTATAACGAACTTAATTGTGGCTGCCATTCTCTTGGAGACGAAAGTCGTGAAGGACGTCCAAAATCAATTGTTGTGCCAGAAAACATTGATGCTGTGCAAAAACTAATAACGCAAGATTGTCATGTGACATATTGTATGTTTGAGGCAGCCTAAGGCATCACTTCCACTAGCATACATAAAATATTACATGATCATTTAGCTGTGAAAAAGGTCTGTTCTCGTTGGATTCCACATAATTTGACCATGGCTCAAAAGAGGCTCGTGTCGACTGGTGCAAACAGATGCTCAAAAAATACAACGTCGGTACTTCAAAATCCGTCTATAAGATTGTAAAAGGTGATGAATCATGGATCTATGCTTATGAGCCGGAGAGCAAACAGCAGTCGACTGTATGGGTGTTTCAAGGCGCAGCCAAAACCGACAAAGGTTTGTCGCGCACGAAGCACTTTGATACAAATGGTCCCCTGTTTTTCCGAAAAACCTGGTCATGTGGCAACAGTACCTTTGGAGGTACGTAAAACATTCAATTTTGAATAGTACACAACTGTTTGTTTGCCGTAAGTCGTCGGTGAAATAAGGAAAACCAACAAGCGCCGTCGGATCATTCTTCATCAAGACAATGCGACGTATCAAGTCTCTCGTGAAACAATGGACTATTTGAGCACTCAGAATATTGATTTAGTTGGTCATCCACCATACACTTCCTTTTGTTCCCGTAGCGGAGTGGAGAATGCGTTACGAAAAATGGTTCGAACGCATGAAAAAGTATATAAATTAGTCTTTTTTCACTATTAGACTCAAAATATAAATAGTAACCCTCGTATTAGGTTGGCCTGTAGCTGAATACATCAAAATAAGTAAAACATTTATATCCCTGAGTTTCTTAACCTTGCGTTGAATGTATACTAAGTGACATATAAATCCGAACACCCAGTTTAAATGGTTTTATTTTAATAAAAGTTGGTGAATGTATTTATCTTACTGTAAATAACAAGTGAAAAATTTTTCAGCCTTATCAGTTGGACATTCCGGTTTTGATACTGCTTTTTTTTAATTCACTAACGCTCTAAAAATGAATATTTCAGCCGCAGTAAAGAATCAACGTTGGCGGATTTTGGTTCTTGACATCCTTTATGATCGGTTACGATGCCTTGACCTGTACGATTTCGTCAACTTAGTGAGTTTGATAGGGGCCGTAGAGTGGGACTTCGGGGAGCTGGACCTTCTTTTCGGGCAATTGCAGTTAGAGTGCAAAGAAGTGTAGACACTGTGGTTAGGTGTTGTCAGGCATGGCTTCGGGAAGGCCGTACGCAAAGAGCAAGGGGCACTGGACGCCGCCGTAGAACAACAGACCGTGAAGATCGCCGCCTAAGATTATTGGCCTTAAGGGACCGTTTCTCCACTACCAGGTCCATTGCAAATGAATGGTTTGTAGAACACGGAAGACCTATTGGCATGCGAAGTGTTTACCGACGAATGAGAAGTTTTGGCTTGTTTTAATACCGGCCACACTGGGTCCTCCCTTTAACTCGAGAATACCGACGTAATCGCCTTGAGTGGTGCAGACAACGGTCACTCTGGGATCAGGAATGGAACAGTATTATCTTTAGTGACCAGTCTCGATTTTGTTTAGGCATGCACGATGGTCGTGCCAGGGTTAGAAGGCGACGTGGTGAAAGGAGGAATCCACAGTTTTTTGTTGAAAGACATGTTCATCACACTGTTGGAGTTATGGTTTGGGGTGCTATAGCTTATGGTTCCAGGTCACCTTTAATCTTCATCAGAGGTAACATGAACGCGCAGCGTTATATCCATGAAGTTCTAGAACCTCATCTTTTACCCTATCTTGACACCCTGGCAGATCCAACTTTCCAACAAGATAATGCCCGACCACATGTTGCAAGAGTGACAATAGACTTCTTTCAACATAATGATGTCACATTGTTACCATGGCCACCAAGATCTCCCGACTTATCTTCAATTGAGCACGTGTGGGATATGATGGGTAGGAGATTTGCAACGTCCTCCTCAGAGGCTAGAAGCACTTCGAGAGGAGTTGGTGGTTGCCTGGAATGAGATACCACAGGAGGACATTGACCACCTGATCAGAAGCATGCCTAGGCGCGTTGGAGGATGCGTAGCACATCAAGGTGCATCCACACATTATGAAAGGTCAAAGGGCTTTAAAGCAGTGCAATCATTTTGAAATTTTTATCATTTACTTATTATGCTTCATTAAGTACTTATACAAAATTTTATTAAAATAAAACCATTTAAACTGGGTGTTCGGATTTATATGTCACTTAGTATATAAATGAAACAGCCTCATTGGTTATTTTCAGTTACGGTAACGAGATTTTTAACTTTTTATTGCCTGGGGATTTCAGAACAGCTGAAGTAAAGCAGAATATACATTCATCGCTCAAAAGCGCAGCGAAATCCGATTGACGTAAAGCGAATATGCTTGTATTGTATGAGAAATCCGCAAAATTGGATTGTTTTCGCATCACTTACCGCGCATCTTTTATATGCTCCAGAGCCAATCCTCTTTCCTAGATTTCATCCACTTACTGTTTTATCCATGTATGTGCAGCAGTCTCTGATCGAATAAGATTTATGCTTGACTTCGAAACAATTTTGCTGTCCAAAGCACTGCTATAAGCTTCCATTTGCAGAATTTTCAAAAATGAGATTTCACGTAACTACGTCGAATTCGGGCTAGGTAGAAGTAGCAAATATACAATTTCTTTGTCGCAAAAATTATGTAGTCAGCAGTCGGGATGTAGTTGATACTACACTACAAATCGATGAGGCGTAAGTTAAGAGTTTGATAGCTGTTGGCATTTCTCATTAAAGTCTTACTTTTCTGCGAAAACATATAAAAGTACGTTGGAAAATATGTAATATACAGGGTGTTTCAAATTCGACCCTCACCGTTGGGAAACTGTCAACGATATGAGGTCGCTTAAATGGGAGCAAAGTTGCGTATTTACGTAATCAACATTATGCAGCTTAGAATGTTTCTACATTCAAAGTACTTCCAGAGAGAGACGGAAAAACAGAATTTTCCTAAAATAGTTTTAATTCTTTTCTGACTTCATTTATAGTGGAATTTCAAAATAAATTGCACATTAGCATTTCCAATATTTGACGACATTGCCAAACCTCTGTTAATTAAAGAAAACAGAATTTCGAAGGTAGGCCTTGAAACTATCAATCATTTCTGTCTCTTATCCTCCAGCATTAACATTTTTTTCTTATGGATTCCATATTGGTTTTTTGCGCAGATCGATAGTTTTTAATTCCGACTTCAAAAATGCATAATATGCCATACATATTGACATTGTCAAACCTTAGTTATTCCATAAAAAGCAGAAGTTCCTAGGTAGGCCTTGAAATTATAAGATTTCATTTGTTTCATATACCAGACTTCAAATGGAACATTGCGACAGAGCTTGGAAGATTTGGGGCCGATTTCACAAACATTAATATTATGGACCAATGGGAAAATACCTTATCGAAATACAATTTGACAAAAGCTGTCAAAGGTCTCTGAATATTAGTGATTT